TTTTTTTTTTTGCATTCTCATTTGCTCAAATAGACTTAAAAAAAAATTGGAGAGAGACTGATGACGGCGGTCAGAAGAGAGAACGGTCAAATTTACCGTCACTCCAATAGATGCTGTATTTGAAACACCCTCTCATTAGCGTGAACTACTTTTTTTGTAATTTGATGCAAAGATAATACAATACAATGTATAGTGTTATAAATTAATATACATTTAAAAAAAGAAAAAGAAAATATGAACAACTTTGGAGGATTAACGATGTTGATGACCATTGAAACACGTCATCAGTCTTGAGAAAAGGGTCCATACAGCAAATATTTGTGAAACTTATGTCCTTATTATAAAGTCTAACACTTGGAGCATTTCCCCTTAGGTGCCAGAATGTTTAATATTTCATTAGAATTTTTTGTGTTTTCTGTGGGGGTTTTTTTATAGACACGCTGGTGCAAAGAGTGAGAGATAGCGGGTGCGCAGTATCTGTGTAATTCATCACCAAACACACACACACACACACAGAGGAAGCCTAAATTAACCCATAACTCATGGCGGCATTCTTGCATTCTTTTATAGAAAATATTCCTTTCAGCAAATACTGCAGGAAAAGAACATTTATTATTGATCGAAAACAATATATAAATATATAATAAACAGATGACTTGGCTTAAAGCTCACTGGAATTTCATCCATCAAATGAATGTTCTCTTCATCTAGCAATATTGACCACTATCATGAGCTTTGTACAAAGAACAAGACCACTTCTGTAAATAAGCCACAGGCCAGGGTTAAACTGAGCCACGCCGACACATACCATATAGACTTTGATAATATTTGCATATTACATATGGACGCGTTTATTAAATTTAGCCTTTTAAAGGAGGGCTGTTAATTTTCTATCATCATAATAATAAAAGGTTTCAATATACACAACAGTTCAAAAGTTTGGAGTTGGTAAGTTTTTATTTTTCAAGAAGTCTCTTATGCTCACCAAGGCTAAATTTACGTGATAAAAAAAATCAGTAAAAACAGTTCAATTAAAATTTTATTTATTTCTATGATGGCAAAGAGGAGAAAGTTCAAAAGAACAGCATTTATTTAAAACTAGAAAAAAAAAAAATATTAATTTTTAAAAAAAAAAAAAAAAAAAAGCATCCTACTGACCGCAAACTTGTGAATGGTAGTGTACATAATAATGCTTTTGCCCAACCCCAAAATCCCAATTTAGCCTTTGGACATGGCTTCCCATGTGGGTAGCGTTCCGAGGAAAGGCTTACTCATTTCCATGAAACACATCAGATATATTCACTACAAGCTCATTTTGTTCTTACTCAAAAAAATATGTTTTTACTGAACGCACATAATTGGGTCTGATTTGCAAAGCATGAGCCTAATTGCAGTCCTGGTGAGGCAGGTGATGGAAATAGCTCATGAAATTGACTTCAAAAGAACTTGTTGTCTTTTCTTCCGTAGATATGACTGAATTCAGACTGCTAATTTAACTTAAAGTGAAGTGGCGCACAGTTTCCTTTAACCTCCTCTCTCTTTCTCAGTAAGCATGATTCGCCATGCTCCCTGGCCAATGTCGCGGTCGGTGTTTGACATATCTGAACGCATGGATAACATTTTCATGAAATTTGCACAGAGGTGCATCTATAATTCACATGCCCTTTTTTAGCTAGTGCTGATTAGAGAGAGATGCTGGAATCACTGCCGGAATCTGCTCGCCGCACCTCTGATGCACATTTACTATTCAAAACTGTTTCCTCAAGATCCTCGTTCCAGACCTTCTTGTCTAAAATGCCAAACCGAGGCCAACCTTGCTGCAGTGCTTCCTCTAATTAATGCTCATTCAAGACTTTCATGCCAAACACATTTAGCTCAGTTCGTCTAAAATATTCAGCCCACCCACATTCAAAACAAATTTGCAAATCATATTCCCCAGATTGCAAGATTGTTTGCTGTTTAGTGACTGAATGAAGAATGATTTTACATTCATGCATTAAAAAGATCAAAATTTAATTTACAGATATCACACAGATGTTATAAACACAAAATCTCATACACAAAATACCAAATCAGTCCAACAGTTTATGACTTGGCTTTATGACTGTGTATATATACACAGTCTATATACAGTATGCATACTGTATTATTAAAATGAAATTCTCCAAAAGGCCAACTTTATTGTTTAGAGGTTGCTCAGAACAGAAGATTAGGAATTCTATTATATATCATTTCAGTATCAAATTTACTTCAAATGTCTCTTATAATTTCTCAGGAGACATAAAAAATTGATATAAATGAGACAACTGTAAATATATAGTAATACTAAATATCTAGCATAGCTCAGAAAGCTTGGGCTTGAAAGCTCACATCTGATGACGAATTGCAGACTTTGGTAATCTGAGCACTTATTATGATCTCTTTTGAAACTCTAGTGGAGACTTTAGATGGGAAATGTCTCAAAGGAGGAAACTTTAGCAACACTCTCCGTTTTGCACTTCTTTTAATCTCTGACCACAGTATAGGTGAAACAGCTGAGATATTAGAGATCTCATTTGTGATATTTCCTTTCCTTATGCCTTGGCTATTAAACTTTAAAGGTGCTGTAAGCAATGTTTTTAATAACACATATAAAATGTACTTATTACTGTATCTGACCGATATCGCTGAAATAGGTGTCCTGAGAAATAACACCTGTCTCTGTGAAAAGCCCTAGGTTTTGCAAAGAGCACTTTTTTAGCCAAAGAGAAACAACTTCTGTCGGTGAACGATTTGAACAGTCTGGTTTTCTGTTATTTAACACCTTGGACATTTTTAAGGAATAGTTCACCCCCAAATTAACATTTTCTGAAAATGTATTCGCTTTCAGAGAATCCAAGATGTAGATTAGAAATTTAGCATTGCATCACTTGCTTACCGATGGTTCCTCTGCAGTGAATGGGTGCCGTCAGAATGAGAGTCCAAACAGCTGATAAAAACATCACAACAATCCACAAGAAAACCAAATGACTCCAGTCCATCAATTAACATCTTGTGAAGTGAAAAGCTGCATGTTCTAATAAACAAATCCATCATTAATAACTTTAAACAGACTGAAGTCGAGTGGATTACTGTGATGTTTTTATCAGCTGTTTGGACTCTAATTCTGACGGCACCCATTCACTGTAGAGGATCCATTGGTGAGCAAGTGATGTAATGCTACATTTCTCCAAATCTGTTCTGATGAAGAAACAAACTCATCTACATCTTGGATTGCCTGAGGGTAGGTACATTTTCTACCTCTTTAATGCTTTCAAAAAACATCTCAGATGACAACAGTGATAAACCAATGGTGAAAGACCTGCAGAAAACAGCACAAAATAGACTCAACAAAATCATTTAACCACTAAAAGTTCAGACAAACCAGTTTTTAGCAGTATTAGAAGTTTTTGCTTTTAAAAACGTGTGAAGCCATCATTAATAACTTTAAACAGACTGAAGTCGAGTGGATTACTGTGATGTTTTTATCAGCTGTTTGGACTCTAATTCTGACGGCACCCATTCACTGTAGAGGATCCATTGGTGAGCAAGTGATGTAATGCTACATTTCTCCAAATCTGTTCTGATGAAGAAACAAACTCATCTACATCTTGGATTGCCTGAGGGTAGGTACATTTTCTACCTCTTTAATGCTTTCAAAAAACATCTCAGATGACAACAGTGATAAACCAATGGTGAAAGACCTGCAGAAAACAGCACAAAATAGACTCAACAAAATCATTTAACCACTAAAAGTTCAGACAAACCAGTTTTTAGCAGTATTAGAAGCCATTCACACAGAATGTGTTTTTGCTTTTAAAAACGTGTGAAGCCGCAGATTAGTATCCACTTGCAGAAGAAGGTAGGGTCTCAAGATGCACTTATAAAATGTGCACTTCCATCTAAAAAACGTGATGCTCAAGCATGAGAAAGCAGTGAGAAACAGCACAGAAGTCGAAGACAATTAAAAAGCCACACAGAGGAACGCAAAAACATGTTCTGTGTGAAGCAGCCCTTATGTGTGTGCAAAAACCTGAAGTGGCTTTAAAATCCCCACTCAGTATTAGCAGAGAACGTGTGTGCTGCTTTGTGCAAAATGAGAGTTCTGCACAAAAGCCCTGTTAACATTTGTCAGTATAAATGCTGAACTTTAACACCTCCTCTCAGATCAAACACTGCTAAATCTATGTTTGTAGAGACTCAGGCTTGGGAACCGAAGTTGCACGTACCTCTCAGATCTCTTCTGTGACCAGGAGACGGATGCGGATATGCTGCTTGGTCCCAGCGCTTGTGACCTGGAGTGAGTGAGGGATCCTGTGGTTCAAAACAAAGCAAATACCTATAGTAGCAGGATTTCAGCAGCTGAACATGAGTGCATAAGAGTAATAAGACATTTTTACATTTTCTGAGAAAAAATGAGTGGTGCCTCCCTGTGCAAACCTCACTGCCTTAATGTTGTGTTGTGTTTTACGTGCTTTTTAGCATATTGCTATGCAGTTTCTATGTTTTTTTGGGTGGTTTCTTACTTGCCTAACTGAAAAAGAGTAAGTCTCTGTGATATTACAGTCTGTAGATATGGCTCAAATCCCAAGTGAAAAATTTAAGTACACCGTTCTTCAACAAGCTGCAAGGTTTTATGTATCCTTCATGTCTCTAACACAAACCGTGCAGGATGGCAATTTGAATAATTATGGTTCAGTGTTTGAAGACTCTTAAAAATAAAGGTTCTTTGGCATCTACAGTGGCATGCGAAACTTTTGAATGGGGTTATTTTAATAATTTCAGCTATTTTTTTCTTGTGGAGTAAATGTAAACATCTTTTATGTAAAATATCTTACTCAATACAGTACTAAATAAAAAATTGCATGCATTTTGTATGATCTCTCTTATTTTGTTAAAATTATTCACATTTTCACAGATTCTGCAAGGGGTTCCCAAACCTTCGCATGCCACTGTATGGTTCCACGAAGAACCTGTAACATTCATAGAAACTTTCCATTCCAATGCTATTCTCCATTCCAACGTTATTAATAGGTTAAAACGTTATTTTTTTTAAATGTTCTTCAAACTAAAAAAAAGTTAATCTTTTAAGAATTGTTCACTAAAAAGTTTGGGGAACCAAAAATGGTTCTTCTATAGCACCACTGAGAAAAAAAGCTTCATTTTAAGGGTGTACAGTATGAGTAATAATAATAATGCATGATGAAATTTGTTTTCCAATAGTGCACAGCCAAATTTAATTTTCCAGTGGAAGCTCAATTTGAAAAAAGTGATATTTTCACTTCAATGTCTCTCTCTCTTGACCCTCATCATAAGCCTCCTCTTTCACAGTCACGCCTAATGGAAACTTCCATTGACAGCATAACTCGTGAATTATTCCATCATTTCAATCATGAAGATGCTGACAAACATAAGCCTGTTTTTCATATCAAGGCCAGCCAAATGTAGAGTCGAGTGGAGGACGATCAGTCTAAGCACAGTTCTGATGTTTAATTCTGAATGTGTCGCAGGGGCTTTATTGTGGGATTAGTTGTTTGGGTGGCGGCAGCCACTGACATTTGAGGAGCATTCCAGTCATAAAATATCACGTCCACTCAGCCACTGCCCTCTGCTGCATTAAGCACTGACAGTCACGCCACGCATCCTCCCCAAAACATCACTCAGAGACATTAACAGAAAAAGAAACTTTAGACGACATCAAACACTGGATTTGAAATGCCAGAAATCTAGGATCAAATAGTCTAATTCTTAAAAAAAAAAAAAAAAACAGTGGTGAAGTTACAGACATTAGAGGATGCCATTTTGGTGACTGCATACTGTATTTGGCATGAAATTATAGAATGTTATGTAATATACAAACCATTTGAACTATTAAAATAAGTAATTTACTGTAATAGCAAAGACTGAAACAAATATCATTGCGATATTGCAATAAACTTTAACTAAATAACATAAAATGCACATAAAACACTTAAATGTAGACAATTTATGACCCAAACAAATATGATGTTTCATGTAGGGAAATTAGAACACAATTAATTTTTTCCATTAATATTTACAAAATTAAAAAATATTTTACTATAACACTAACAGCATACATTAAACAATGCTTTGATATATATATATATATTTATATAGGCTATATACTATATATATATATTCCTATATGGTAAGGTAACTTAACTAGTTAACTGGTTTTTACTGTAGCATTTTTTGCATTCTTTTTCAGTTAAAATTACATGCATTTTTACAGTGTCATAGGAAACAGTGCTGGCAGTAATGGTTTACATCCACATGTGATTACGAGAGCACTATGGTGTGTGTGTGTGTGTGTCTGCATGTGTTGGTTTATGTGAAAATAAAGAGGTTATGATTTCCTGACTGAATTCATTACACATCACAGAGACCCTACAGTGTGATAACAGCCCAACTGCCAATTTACTCATTAAAATTTCATGTACATGTAATCTAAATGTCTAATACATGATGCTTGATTTGACCGAATGAATTAAATAGTCTGATAAGCTTTTTTCATTTTTGATATTTAAAAAAAATATGAGTACAGCCTGAATGTGAAAAAGTTTCAAAACATAAAAATACCCATGAGACTTTAATATTCCTGACATTTAGCTGAATTAAAGTAATTTTTGCCACTGGCTTGTGATGGAAGAAAAAAAGTATAATGACTAATAATATCTGAACTTTTCACAACAAAGCTGCAAGCTAATCCAAATATATCCAACTGCCATGCCAATGTCACATCAGTGGTGCTAACTACTCTATAGTTAGTATCTTGAACATTGGGAAGTCACAAGACACAGCATATGACCTTAACAATATGCACATTTCTAGAAGTCAAGAAATAATTAATAGCAACAGAATACCACCGTTTGACCTTTTGTGAAGTTTCTGAGCAAATCACTAACTAGCACTTTTTTCATTGTCTGGATTAATCACTTGTACTATTCTGAAAAACCTGCTTTGTATAAAAATTTAAATAGTATTCTATTTTTGGCATATGCAAACTGCATATTTTACTGTCTTTCACACATACAAACTTTGTCAGTTTTGCCCTAATGTGTAGATAAAATGTAATCCATGTACCCATTATTTTATAAAAGTCTCAATTTTAGTGCTGGCACTGCAGTGTGTTATTTGAATTCAGTAGCTGTAAGTGGTCAACATGAGTTGGGTGTCCTTGAGGTAGGCAACTAATGCTCTAGATAAGCTAACAGCAGTACAAGCCGAGAAAGACTAATGGACCAACCAATATAAACAACAACATCAACAAAAATCCCCCCAAAAACACTCTGTACAGGGTCACATCTCAGCCTTAAAAGAATAATCTGTGTTATTTAAAGACAGAGACATTAAACTGTACATAACCCAGAATATTCCTTTAATGGCATTACAGTAAACAGAGAATAAGTCCTAGTACAAACTCTTTCATAAACAGAAATAGAAGAACATCAATTGGAAGGCATGAGTAATACAAAGTATTACTGTGCAAAATGTATGAAGAAGTGGCTTAAAGTGCTTCAAACTGAAGGTCAAACTGTATGCTTTTCTTAATACTAAAATCCATACCTGGCCACATACCGGCAATAATGGACTTTTAAAGCGAAAGTGCATGCACTGAAGATCATATGGAGTTATGGAGGACTTTCAAAAAAAGCATGTGGGTGCATATATGTCTATATTTAGAGACGAGAAGGATGAGATTGAAAAGAGACAAAAGAATATATTTTACTTGTTTGCCATGACTTCCAAACAAAGTCTTGTGACATGAAGTGGCAAAGTGGGCAGAAGTATGTCTTCTCTATATTCAACAACATTGTTTGTTCTCTACCACACGCCATTTCATTAATGAAACGTTTTGTGTGTGTGTGTGTGTATATGTGTGTGTATGAGTTCAGTTCACACTCCTTCAGGCCGAACATGACCAACAAACCTTAAACGAGTTCTGAATATTTTTTATTTTAGTTCAGTGGCATTGCATTTCAAATCATGTTGTTGAACATCACAAACATTTATTAGTCCAGTTGCACCTTCTCCAGATCAAACTGTTGCTCTTGTAATTAGATGTAATTAAAAAGCTACAGCTGACTTACAAGAATATGGGTTGTTTTGACCCAGCGGTTGGGTTACTACCCAGAAGGTTGGGTTAAACATTTAACCCAACCGCTGGGTCAAAACAACCCAATTACTGGGTTTGTCCCTATTTTACCCAGCACTGGGTTGTATTTAACCCAGCATTTTTTTAGAGTGCAGTATAACAGACCAGGTAAAACAAGGTGGTCCACCTCGACTGCATTTTTGGCATCATGAAGCACGTTTCCATTCAGCTGTGCACTGCTGCAGATGCATAAGATGCCCTAAAATGCTGCCTAAGTAGACAGCTCACTAGGTTTTGAGACACAGCCAGGAAATCACAGAAGCAATTTCACAACATGCTTGGACGGTCATTCCACAAATAGGGCACCTTTGGTGTCCCTAGTGCTAATATATGTAAACAATGAAAATCCAACACCATCAACAAAATCCAAATATGTTATTTTAATCTTTTTTCCCCCCCTCTATGAGAATGCATATATTTTGTATGTATCCAGACCTGTTTCTCCAACTTTTTTTTTTTTTAAAGAAACTTCAAATCGGTCACTTTTATAAAAAGCATTCAGTAACTACAATATATATCTGACAGATCTTAAAGAAATTTACTTTTACCACCTCATCAAACGGAAAAAGCACACATTTCATGGAATGAATGACCCTGGAAAACAGACCCCAGTCAATTAACGGCATGTCCACATTTTCGGTGTCTCAGTAGCATAACATGGATGACTGCGGAGGAACAGCAGATCTCGGATGTTATTTAACAATCCAGACGTGTTTAAATGTTGGCAGGATCTGCAGTGGAGAGTCGCGCGCTGCGCTGCAATGACACGCGCGCTCCATAACACGAACATCACATCAGTCCTCATACACAAAAAATATAATTTTGATCAATATATTTAAAAAAAAAATCGCTCCACAACTGACAACTATTCTCTCAAAACTGAGAAAAAAAGAAGAAAAAAAAGAAAAAGGTATTTTCTCATTGATGTAATTCGTCAGCAACAACATGTCCAACTGATAAATACAAAGAACGAAAGAAAAATATATTTAAAAACAAAACAAAATCGTGTCCAGCACTTGCTCCTATACGGGATATTGTACAAAATAAAGAAACGAATATACTTAAGAGTTGACTCACGTTAATCAAAGTTAACCAAAACCTGACGTCCCCCCTCTCCAAGAAGGTAAAACATTAAAAGCCGGCTTTAGATGAGTGTCGGTTGAACTCAGAAGAAGAACAAAATGCAAGCACATCCCAAATCAAAAGAGGACGTAGAAAAGAGGTAAAGATGAAGACAAGAGAAAATGAGAAGAAAGTACTCACCGGTGAAAATGTCAGAGAGCAAAAATGTGGAAAGAGCAACAAGAGAGAGAGAGTGATGAGGAGCTGTCAGCGGCGCAGTGACTGAGGAAAGCAGCAGCTCGACAGTATAAACAGTGCTGGTGTGGAGCAAACCATTGCGACTGCGCAGGGGGAGACACACAGTCTGTCTACTTAAAGGCATAGTTCACCTTCAGTTGCTGGTCTCTGACTGACTTGCATAGTGTTTCCTTAAAGGTGAACTGCCCCTTTAAAGTTGCACTCAGTAATTTTGTAATTAAACTTGGTCATTTACTAATTACAAATTTGTGCATCTAAGTAATGAACAGTATTTTTTTAGAAATAGCATTAAAATAATATTTACTATCATGAGATGAATAGTTCAGTCACATGAGCCTTCTCGAAAAAGCGTTTTATTCTTTTTTATTGCAACGCAATAGGCTACAACCTAAGAACATAAAATTGTGAGGTCATTTACGAGCAATTTCTGAGTGAAAAGTGTTTCTACACCAATTTATTTTTAGTGTAGAGTTGCTGTTACCATGTTTTATTTTGCATTCATGCAATCGACCAGGTTAATAATTCAACGGTCTGTCAAGTATTCCTATAGCGCATCTATCCAGTGCTCAAACCCAACAAACATATTATTTATATTTGTAATGTCAAAAGTCTGACATCCGAGCTTCGCTTCAGGGCCGTGATCTGTGTTGTACAGCGGTTCTCCAAGTAACCTTAGTAGAATTTTCATTTGTGGTTCGGAACAATACACTCTAAAAAATGCTGGGTTATTTCAACCCAACTTTGGGTCAAATATGGACTAACCCAGCTGTTGGGTTAAATTTTTCAATTACATTTTTAACCCAAAAGTTGGGTTAGTCCATATTTGACCCAAAGTTGGGTTGAAATAACCCAGCATTTTTTAGAGTGTAGTAAAAACTTTCTGACAGCATTGTGACAACCTTCAGACAATAATGTCAAACATGTTAGCATGTTGTCACAACGTTCCAGCAACATCCTGCATTTCCTGGGATTTTTAATACTATGTGAAATAATACACCATGTCTACAACAGCATAGTAATATGCTATTATTTCTGCAGAAATGACAAGTGCATATGGTACACAGTATGCATACTGAATACTGCAAAAAACATGCAGTCTTATAAAAAATGGTTCCAAAAGGGGATTTTCGCATGCATAAAATAATCATTTTTCATCCATTCAGTGAACAGTGCTTAAAAGAACCATTTCTTGAAGAACATTTTAATAATCTGAAGAACCTTTTTTACCACTATAAAGAACCTTTTGTGCAATCGAAAGAATTTGTGTATGGCAGTGTTATTGAAAACATTAAAAAGGTATTTTGTATTACATGCAACTTCGTGTGTAATTTCAATTTGAAGCTACGGCTCTTCTCATTGCATGCAACAAGCTATATCAGCTTACAAAACTACTGACTTCTAGAAGGGCGAAAATAGTTGGACTATTTGTGTGCAGATCAAAGATCTTGACAGATTACAAACTGTATTCATATCTATTACTGTATATAGCTTCTTAAGAAACAAAAATGTATACACACAAACACATACAGTATACACTCAGGCAGCCATGCCTCTCTCAAAGATATGAGACAATGCCAACAGCGACACTTAGGGCAAGGATTACCGAGATGTTTTTCTCGGGTATTTACCGTATCTCTGTGGGGCTTATGCGCCCATTTCACATCTATTTTTTTTTTGTTTATGTTGTGATGGAGACATCATACTGTGTGCAAGCTACAGCTTAGCCTTGAGCCCAGAGCTACAAGATAAAATTAAACTGAAAGCTCGAGATTTTAATTCAATTCCTCAGAGGGAAGTAAAAATTTATCAGGGCCTTAGGGCAAGGATTACCGAGATGTTTTTCTCGGGTATTTACCGTATCTCTGTGGGGCTTATGCGCCCATTTCACATCTATTTTTTTTTTGTTTATGTTGTGATGGAGACATCATACTGTGTGCAAGCTACAGCTTAGCCTTGAGCCCAGAGCTACAAGATAAAAATTAAACTGAAAGCTCGAGATTTTAATTCAATTCCTCAGAGGGAAGTAAAAATTTATCAGGGTGAATATATATAGATATGCCACTGTAAATGATAGCACGGGAGGTGAGAGGCACAGGTGACACTTTGAGGGAGCATGGGGAGGAAAACGGCAACTGCGACGGAGTAGAAAAAGAAAAGGGAAAGCCAGTAAGTGAGAAAACAACTGAACGAGGATTTAGGAAACAACCTACCCAAGACAGAAGAGCAGAGGAGAGAGAAAAAGATCCAAGCATCAATAATGCACATTAGTCCTTCCACATCTGCTCCAGTTGAAACTCCTCCAAATTCACAGCTTCACACCATCCCTTGAGAATTTAACTCTCTCCAAAGTGCTCTCAAGGTTTGATGAATCCTGTTAATGGGGACAAAAGCCCTGAAGAAGAGATCCTATTAAAACTGGCTGGTGTAGTCAAAAGACTGGATATCTGTGTGGATTTGTCGCACTGTGATTTGCTTATTTCAAACGCGATGCAAAAGAAACAGAAGCTAAATGCCACACAGGTCCTCTGAGAAAACACCACAACCATATCAAAAAGAGCCTGAAAAGAGTCTGTAAAAAGAGACCATTACAGAAAGAAGACAATGCAAGAATTTTGCTTTGGAATTTCATCTAACATGTTTTCACCGTCTTTCTTCCAGTCAGTCATTAGTCCCAAAGGCAATTCTAATGCTCTTGCAGTATTTTAGAAGCAACAACTTAGGTAACACAAAAATCGGAGGTGGTTGTAGCCCTGTAACTCAGCCTGAAGGCCAGAATCATAAATATACTATGTTTGGGAGGGTGTTTGACATTTTTGCAGTGAAATAAATGGCCGTATTACTCACTCTACTGAATATTACCGGCTGAAAGAGGGCTGGACTGTCAACAGCATGACAGCAATGCTTCCTCTACACTGTTCTTGCTTAAAAAAATATCAGGTGGAAATATCCAATGCTAATTTGGTCATTTTAACTGGCCAATCCAGAGGTAATTATGTAGAGCCATTGCCAGCCGTTAACTAATACAGCCCCTCATTGACTGTAAACATATTGACGAATCGGGAGTCTCAATTATTCTTGGATGCTGCACTGAACACCTAAAGTCAACATTGAGGGAGCTTTTAAATGAGGACAGTCCTGGGCATGTAGAAAAATGAAAGGTCAGATGATGCCACAGCACCCGGAGATCATGTGTTAGCACATCGTCAAACACAAGAAAATGCCAGATGTCCAGGCTTGCTCTGCAGGTACTTTTGTGCTCTGAGAACAAGTAACAACAAGAAAGAACAAATGGAACAAAAAAAGACAATGGACATTTTACAAAATGGTTAGAGGAAATAAAAATGACAATTCCATCATTATTTACTCATCTTCATGTCATGCCAAATCTGTATGACTTGATTTCTTGTGTGGACACATATTATGTGAATAGTGACTTTTTGATTGGAAAAAATACACTGGAATTTTTTTTTTTGAAGGTTACTGTAATACATTTTACAAGATTAATTCAGCGTAGTGCTTGCCATGTCTTTGTAATTATTTGAGATTTACTAGCGATTTCTGAGTGAAAATTGTTTCAAAGTTAATTTTTAGACAGAAGACTAAATTGTAACAATTTTTGGGTGAACTATTCGTTAAAGAAAGATGCGGATAATGAGTCTTTAGTACAATGAAAAAAAATTTTCACTCAAAAATTGCTAGTAAATCTCACAAACAATTATAAAGAAAAGAGAAAAAAAACAACACACTGAATTAAATGTGAAATTTTGAAGCAGAAAAACGGCAATAACTGTAAAATGCACTCCAATCATTTTTGCTTTATTCACGACTTGAAAAATATTTTTATACAGTGTAACATGATACATGATCAGGCATTTGTTGTGAATTTTAAACGTTAAAATGCAATGCATCTGTGTGCATTTGCATACCACTAGCACAATAACGTCAGTCTGACGGCTGCTCATCCATATCTCTGTGACCTTTTCCTAAAATCTATGGCGGCCTTGCCAATGTTATGCTTGAAAATCTCTGTGCTTATCTTAATTACTTGGATTTAGCTTAATACATTTGAATTCATTGACAAATACAAAATTGTGGCTTTTTAGTCCATGTCTATTAGCTTTTCTCCTGAACTGAAGCCCTCTTATGAACCCCTATTGACACATAAACAGCCTAAACAGAGTGTAAATATACAATGTTGTTTGCATTCTTATGATGTTTTTCATAGAGCAGTGGCTGGGTTGAACTTTAGGTTAATGAGCCACTCAATAATGTATTGATATCTTCCTCAGGTCAGTGCTGCTCAAGGATCTATCTTAATGACGCATGGAGTCAGAGGTTGTAACCTTAAAATATAATGCATGTTACTTCCTACTAAAGCAAATATTTCTAATACCTGAATGGGCGTTTGAGGTCCAAGGGTACAAGGCTGAAATTTAACAGTGTAATGGCATCAAATGATGCACTGCATATCTGAGATATCTGTTCTCTACATATCTAAAAACCTTTTAGAAAAAGGTTCAGAAAACATCAGGCTTTGATGTTTGTTTGCTCAGATTTTTGCCTGTAGATATGTCCTGGTGCACATGGCAACACATGCTTTCGTGGTATGTTCACACAGCATAGATAGAAATGGCAGGGGAGAATGAGAATGAGGACTATTGGAAGAAGGCAAACGAAACATACTAAATTTCTTCAAGCACAAACAAGTGATGATACTCACTCAGTACACGAATAGATTCAGTCTCAGCCTGAGAAAAAGAGGTTGGATTATTAGAAATGATCAGCACAAATGTTTTGAATGGGTATTTTTCTTCAAGTTCTGATGCCCCTGAATTGAAAAGTATGCTTTCTATTTATAGGTTTTTGGTTGTATGTTATTATGAATGACAGAGTTTTGACTATATTAAATATCTAAATACAATTGTTTTTGAAACCTATATATATATATATATATATAATATTATAATAAAGTACTGATAGGGTCCCTGTGTCCCATCCAAACGAAAAATTAAAACTCACAAACTTATCCCAAAATAAAAACTCACGCT